GAGATAATTGATTGTTTTTGATATCGGACCTTTGTGACGATACACCATATGAGAGTTCATGAACCTATCCTAGTTCCCTGTCGTGGCGATACACCATATGAAAGTCCATGAACCTATCCTAGTTCCCTGTCGTGGAGATACACCATATGAAAGTCCATGAACCTATCCTAGTTCCCTGTCGTGGCGATAACACCATATGAAAGTCTATGAACCTATCCTAGTTCCCTGTCGTGGAGGTACACCATATGAAAGACCATGAACCTATCCTAGTTCCCTGTCGTGGAGGTAAACCATATGAAAGTCCATGAACCTATCCTAGCTCCCTGTCATGGCGATACACCATATGAAAGACCATGAACCTATTCTTGCTCCCTGTCGTGGCGATACACCATATGAAAGACCATGAACCTATCCTAGTTCCCTGTCGTGGCGATACACCATATGAAAGACTACGAACCTATCCTAGTTCCCTGTCGTGGAGATACACCATATGAAAGTCCATGAACCTATCCCAGTTCCCTGTCGTGGAGGTACACCATATTAGAGTCCATGAACCTATCCTAGTTCCCTGTCGTGGCGATACACCATATGAAAGTCCATGAACCTATCCTAGTTCCCTGTCGTGGTGATACACCATATGAAAGACCATGAACCTATCCTTGTTCCCTGTCGTGGCGATACACCATATGAAAGACCATGAACCTATCCTAGTTCCCTGTCGTGGCGATACACCATATGAAAGTCCATGAACCTATCCTAGTTCCCTGTCGTGGAGATACACCATATGAAAGTCAATGAACCTATCCTAGTTCCCTGTCGTGGAGGTACACCATATGAAAGTCCATGAACCTATCCTAGTTCCCTGTCGTGGCGATACACCATATGAAAGTCCATGAACCTATCCTAGTTCCCTGTCGTGGCGATACACCATATGAAAGTCCATGAACCTATCCTTGTTCCCTGTCGTGGAGGTACACGATATGAAAGTCCATGAACCTATCCTAGTTCCCTGTCGTGGAGGTAAACCATATGAAAGTCCATGAACCTATCCTAGTTCCCTGTCGTGGAGGTAAACCATATGAAAGTCCATGAACCTATCCTAGTTCCCTGTCGTGGAGGTACACCATATGAAAGTCCATGAACCTATCCCAGTTCCCTGTCGTGGAGGTACACCATATGAAAGTCCATGAACCTATCCTAGTTCCCTGTCGTGGCGATACACCATATGAAAGTCCATGTACCTATCCTTGTTCCCTGTCGTGGAGGTACACCATATGAAAGTCCATGAACCTATCCTTGTTCCCTGTCGTGGCAATCTATACAAGTGTCCAAGAACCTGTTACAGTCCCTTGTCATAGTGATACAGTGTATTGGAGTACATGAACCTGTTACAGTCCCTTGTCATAGTGATACAGTGTATTGGAGTACATGAACCTGTTACAGTCCCTTGTCGTAGCGATACAGTATATTGGAGTACATGAACCTGTTACAGTCCCCTGTCGTAGCGATACAGTATATTGGAGTACATGAACCTGTTACAGTCCCCTGTCGTAGCGATACAGTATATTGGAGTACATGAACCTGTTACAGTCCCCTGTCGTAGCGATACAGTATATTGGAGCACATGAACCTGTTTCAGTCCCTTAACATGGCAACCCACCATACGGGGAAAAATAATGTTAGCAACGCTTTTCTTCACACAGAACATAAAATAAATACAAGGTTACAAAGTCGAAAAGTCGCCCCAAAAAATTAAGATTTCTTCTTCGGTCTGGAGTTAATAATCGACCCCAATCTTAAATAGGAAGGAACATTTGTTTGTTAGGATCAAGTACTAATATTGGAACATACCGTCGATATTACTAACTAGATTCTAAATACATATATGCTTGTGTGTCATGAAAGAATGTCTCGTTGCATTATCTGGGCGTAGCTCTCGGGTGCCACAGCCTAGCGAACCGCTTTTAAGGGCAGGGTTTGGAAATTGAATTAAGAAACTGGAGTTACCTCCCTTCCTCTAAGCATCGCCTTGTCTTTTTATGATTTTTGTTCAACTGGACATTTGGAAATTAGAGTTTTATTTCACATATAAACGCTAACAAATCTAAGTGCATTGAAATGTAATCATTCGGACTAAACGTTTTCGCTTTTTTGTGTTTTGTGATCTTTACTGTGTTACCAACATTTTGTCCAAAGCATAGCTTTTTGACTGGTATCCTAGAAGACAGTAACACCACGAAATTTATATAAACCGTGGGTGTGGTCTTCAAAAAATGAGATTGTGTTGTACCAACCACCAAAGTCACAGTTTCTGTTGAATATCTGTAACTTTATATACGTGGGATTAGACTACAAGTCCATGCGACAAAGACCTTCTGCCAACACCAGTGTTAGATAGAGGTTAAAAATCCTTTTCACTCGGCTCACATATTAATATATATTAGAAAAAGATATCATGAATAACTATTAAATTAGGGTTCTTTTGAATAAACGACTGACTCGAGGTTGTCTGTTTCAAGTTTATTCTCGGTTTATTAAGTTCATTATATCCCTAAAAAGACAAAAACATGACTATATAATACGAGCACATAAATCTACTTTTACAATACCGAACATCTGAAGTAGGAGATAATATAAACGTGTATGTGTAAAATACGACAGACTGAACTTGTACAGCAATATCAATTATTTATGGGTAATAATCGTTTACAGATAATTCACAGCAACTTACCCTGCATGTGGTGCTGGGGATGTGTACTTATATCTCGAATAGATACAGTAGATAGCGTTGTGGTAATAGGTTCAAACTAGAGAATAGTAAACAACACATCACATGACACCACCCATGATTACACACATTACACAACCATACGCAATATGCCTAACACGGGCCGCAATGCAAAATACATACAAACCGAAAGTGACGGTCACGTGATCTAGCGACACGAAGCGATATGTTAATAAACAATAATTACAACTGCCATGGAGAGTATTAAACAAAGAAACTATTACCGTACAGGATTTACTTAAGATATTTATCAAATACTGCTGTAAAATATTAAATCACTTAATCAGGGTGCCACATAACCATCCGACAATCGCGTATAAAGACAGCGATTCCTTGGCTTGTGAACTTACCAGCTTAATCTAGAAATTTATAAAACCTTTTATCCTCGTCCTTTCGTGATTTCGCCCCGAAAAACGAGAATTAACAACCCTGAAGGTTTTTTTTAAATTCTGGTCTGTTTGCGGCGAAAAGACGAAATAACGAAATATCACAAATCAGCTTCCATAATTAAATACATATGTATCAGCAAAACCTCGTCAATCGTCTGTGAAAAGATCACATAGTATCGCAAGCGAAAAATTCAATGACTTATCTATAATTAATTACACCTTCAGATTTACTTCGACGCCGAATGACTCTTACTGCTATTTATTTCTCTTGTCAGAGATGACGATTGCTTTCGCGTAAGCGTTTGAAATGGTTGGACGGACTGAACCTGCACGAGAAACGCTAGATACGCTTTTGCAGATGGAAATGAAATGAAGTTCTTTTAAACAAATCTAAATATTTCAGAAATACATCATACAAAGAGCATAAATTCCAGAAATTAGCATAAATGGTATACATTTTGATTAGAATATGTACATATTTTTCCACTGAAACAAAAAAACAGTGTATTTTACATGGCAATAAACCGATATGATGATATATACAACGACATATATTTATTTCACCAGAATAAACAATGATAACGATTAATACCTAATTACATTAGACTAATTAGTTCAATCTACTTTAAAATGTAGGCACGTTACTCGGAACATATTTGATTTAAGCATTTCCATATATCTCATAACACACTGAAAAATCGCGCGATACGGTATATATCACTGGAGTCCGACTCCGTATTTGTATTCACATTTTTTTTTAATTATCTATTTCCGGACTCGCGTACTTCCTTTTCCATTCTGCATTTCGCGGGAAGTTTACTTTGGATGTAAAATTATATTCTTACTTGAAATAAAACGTTAGGCACAATCTTCTAGGTTCCGATGTCAGATAACAAAAACAACAGAATTCCGGGATGGTGCTATCTCCCCTAATCCCCCTCCCAACCTCTCCTTCATGATTCATCCATAATTACAGAAAAATATCTTAATATCATTACAATAACCACAAAAAACTAAATTTTCAATAGAAAAAATATTCCACTTAAACAACACTTGTCCACATTGTACAAATTATTTATAAAATATATTTGCTCGTCAATTTATATGTAACCAATTTGACATGCTATCTGCAATAATACCAGGAGTAATTATTAGTATATTTCTGATAAAACTAATCTGAGAAACATTCATTCGGCTTGAAAAACACTGATGTTGTGCAATATACCATGGTCATGACTTTAACAAAGGGTACAAAGCAACAACATAAATGTGGCTTTGGAAATAAAATGCCCAACAGTAGAACTGCAAGCATTCCTCCTCTTCTAAAAGAAGCAGACCACATGGACATTTTCAAGTCAGATATATGTCATGGCTATTGTAGCGTGATGCTAGGGAACGGATTTCTTGAACTTTTAACCACTGGTACAGTTCACATGAACATCGAAGACTGGCACACGTACTGGACTGGTACCTCACTGGACTTCACATTTGTCTTGCAAACACTATGGCACGAGTGTTGTCTGTGGAACACATGCTAAAAGCGACTCCTTGAGAGACTATACATATTGGACAATGATAGTGTATGATTTGACAACACATGCTTCTATGTTACGTCGTGGTAGTCCATTTGAATTTGACTGCAGTACATACATGTATTTTACATCAGCATTTTCATCAAGTCAGTTTTCATCGTAGAAGCCGGCATGCGCGCAGAATCCTGGATGTATTAAACAAGGTTTCCATTTGTAGACGTCACGCCTCCGAGAACGCATAGTCTTTTCTGAGCGAACAAACAAACAGCGTCATATACCACTACTGAAAAATCAACGTGACGGTTTCAAGAGCATTCTTGATTTCAGCATAGGAGCGTAGTCCTGATAATAGTAAAAGCCATTCCATTTCATCGCACTAACACCACCGCGAAAATGTATATCATCCACGTGCCGTCCATTCAGATTACACTGTAAACAATTGAAGAACCACCAACCGCCTGTAAAAGACTTGGCACATTCATGTTGGTCTCCTTTGTCGTTAGTGACAAACGGGCGTCCATTATGATATTCCATAGCGTCTCCTATTAGAAGAAAATGAAGAAGTTTTTATTACACAAAATGAAAATGCTAAAGAAAAATGCAAACATTTCTGAAGATAACAGAAGTTGTTAAGATACAACACAAAAATGGGTTTATGAGATATAAATATTCGAAAGTAGAGAATAAAAAAAAACCCAGAATAACAAAATATAAAAACAAAAGATGAAAGATGAACCAATTTATTCACATAGTTAAAACACATGTGAGCTGGATCAAACATTATTAAATACTAGTAATGAGAAACGACATAACAGGATCAGTAAGATCATTCCAAAGAACGTTGGTTCTGAATAAAACGTTCCTGTCAAGCATTATTTGTCGTTAAAACATACAAAGTTTCCTCAATCTCTCGAATTTTACCGACGAAAGCCTTCGTTGTCTATACTTACTCGAAACGTCTCCAGTAAAACCGGAAATAGACAGTCTGTACCCGTCAGATTCGTCTGCGACGCTGAATGCTGAGTACTGGGCGTAACCTGCATCGCCATCACGGGAGACTAACTCTATCCTTAAGATGGATGGCTTTCGTGTAAGTAGATGGATAATGTCGAGTCCTGTCGAAAATAGGAATGTTCTGGTGAATTTGCAACAAACTTTTGATGAGGCATATATAGATATGAAAAGTAATACTCACAAAAATTTTAAATCAAGATACCAAATAATCTTTAGTGTTTTCCCTAACACTTGACAGGGAACATTTTCTTTAACTCGAATGAATCTTAAATGTATGTGGAAAGAGAAAGTGTAGTTGAGTCTGAAAAGTTCAATATTCAGGACATACCTAACCAAAAGTTTCTGTCCAAGTCTCCGAATCCAGTCTTGTAGTCTGTCCAGTTTCTAGCGAAGCTCACCTGTTCATCTTGTCTGTTCTGTATGACCTGCAACATATGAATGAATATTACGAGAGATTGTTTGAATCAGATAACGGCAATGACCACAAATTAGAATAAAGGCAATACTCCTGTTTTAATTCTTTGTTTCTTGCGAAATTTTGCTTGTGATAAATGGTGTGTTTTTACTGTGTTTAATCATGGCGATAGTGCACAATTACAATAGGAATTAAAAGAAACAACACGTGTGCAAATACTTCTTAAATATGAACCATGTCACTCAAAAGAATATTAAACCAAGGTATTCTTACAGTCCACGGTCCACCTTCGTTGTCCATGTCACAGAAGATATTATAAAGTAAACCATTTGCCAGATTTATGTTGTTGACACCAGAGTTACTGATAGGGTTTACTTCGCTGCAGTCTGAGGGATCTACAAAGGAAAATGCATTGGTTGGTCTTTTTATAAGAATTATACCTTCCAAATATTTTTAGAAATAAATGTTTGCTTTCCGCTTTCCTTCAATCTTAGTCTACAACCTCACCAACATACTATTTTCATTTCTGCTTAGTGACATATCTGATTCCTCTTCCTAAATTGTGTAAATTTGGAGATAATTGTGCGTACATAGTTTTAGAAACTGATAGCCAAATCTTGAACACAAAGATTCGAGAAACGGATGTTATGCATGAGTTTCTAATGTAGTAAAAGTGAAAGGGATAATCTAGGGTTACGCTTATACGGTTATTTTGTGCCTTAAAGTAGTTTTTCCTTTTCAGGATGGCGTGATAAATACCAGACCATAACACGAATTGTTACTGTTGAACACTTGTCATGGGCGTTGCAATTGTTTTTTCTCAAATTTAATGGAGAATGATTGCAGAATCATAAGTTCGTTCCCAAAATCAAGATATTAATTTTCTTTTGGCTTTTTTCCTTGTAATTTTAGTGAGATTTCCAATTTGTGGCCAAAAGAGTGTATATGTTTATGGTATTAACTGAAATACGTGCACCTCTCAGTTAACGTCGACGAGTACTTGAAACACTTATATCAAGTTCGTGTTTATACTTACATAAATGTGCCCTCTTAGAGTACACTTTTCTTGCTGACAGTGGTGAATCACCTGTAGATATTTCTCTGCCATATGTGATGCATTCCCTGGTCTGAGGATCGTAAGCAATTGCTAAGCAGTGGTTTTCACACTCGGAAGCACATTTGATAGGGCTTACAATTTTTTCGTGTACGACCAAAATGTCACCATTATAGTCAGTGAGCGAAACATTAAAAACACGTTTAAATGAGGACATTGGTCCACTTGCTCGACATGTAATGTAAAGTATGAAAAGTAGGTAAACTTCCATGACTAATAAGATATAACACTGTTATCTACGGGCAGACTTTCGTGACGAATTGAAAACGGCTACTTGTAGGCAGATTTCAGGTCGAATAGCAAACGGTTATATACAGATAGACTTCCAGACCAAAAAGGAAACAAATCTTTCAAGGCAGACCTCTGTGACGAACGAAAAAAACAATCTATATATAAACTTTCATCTTTCTACAGTTCATGCTATGACGAACCCATTTAATAATTTATTTCATTTATTATTGAAAGCAAAGTCATCCTCTCCATTCCCCTGAGAGTTATCTCCTCTAGGATTTTTTTCTACACCTTTGCTTAGCGTCGTTGTTCTCAACCATGTAAGACCAGTTCCGCCAATTCTGCTCGGACGATTGTTGATTAGTTCAAATCCCCAGATGTAAAATCTCACTTGACAACTACAAAGCCCACATCTTTTGAATTAAGGATAAACTCTAAAAGCAACAGTTTAAAAAAGGTAAAAAAAATAAAAGTTCAACAAAGTTTCCATTACTAACAGAATGAAAGGAAGCCAAACAAGCAACGTATTGAAAACGCATTTATTGACATTAGAACAGACATTTTTCAGGACAAAAGTCTTAATAACAGTGTGGTCTGATTAGTGAGAATGATGAAGCATACAAACTTCTCTTGAGGTCAATTTTGCCCATATTTCCAATATTTATAATAGTAAACATTCAGATATGGTTATCTGATCTGAGACTGAGACAAATATCAGTATATACGGTAAAAGGCAAGGTAAAACCTATGCAAAACTGTTTACGTGACATTTGAAAAACAATCGAATCCTTATTGCTAAGTAGTCTTAACAGTTAACCATATAATACAAAGACATGGAGGGCAGCGAGGTGGGCTTAATTCAGTGCGGTCGTTAGGGGAGGTTTTTCTTTTTATGAGAGCTTTCCTTTCCAAGGAGGTTGAATGACGCTACAGATATATGGTTGTGATCCGTGCTGAAGTATATTTCGTGAAAAATACATTCAAATGAAGATATAAACGAAGGACGAAATAATAAAAATTATCGAATTTCTAGTTGACAACAGTTTCTTATTGACATTTTCATGCCAATAGTCTATTGGAATTCAAAGATGTTGCAAAACAGCAATTAAATCATTAGCGTTTTAAAACTATTTTGTACCGCCATAGGTAGAGAATATGGTAGTGGACAAAAACGAGAAATTAAGTATCCCTACATAAGCGTTTTAAGGAGGGTGTTTCTTTCTTTGGCAAAAGCTGTTTGGAAATTTTTAAATTCACACACTGTTAATTACAAGTTCGAATTAACAGTCTCAGAATGAAACTGCTTGGTACTGTCAAGAAAGAGAGGAAATTTTGATTACGTTTTTTTTTTTAGTTTTGTGAAGTTTAATAATCCAGTATCAACGAGGAATGTCCGAATCCTATTTGGAGATATTAGATAATGTGAAGGGAATTTATTTCTCGAACAAGCATAGATCTCTCTAGATACAAGATAATGTATCAACAAGTAAGTTATCGGATGCCTAATCTGCAGGATCAAGAAATACAGATTTGTGTTCTGTTTTACTTAAGATTTTATGTTGCTTATTCTTTTTAGGTCATCTGCTAGTAATTAAAAAGTTTGAAAGATATAGGGACTTGAAACCTATGAAATGGTTTGTCATTTCATCCAACAACACACTGTATTTCAAGATATTAGTTCATAATCCGTGACAAGTCAAGGTTTACCGCAAGGATGGTATATTTCATGCTATTGTATGTATTACTCCATTAGTACTGTTAAACATTTACTGTTTTTTCTCCATTATGCCTCTAAATTAGTTATGACCTGATGAATCGATCATGTAGTAAAAATAGAAACAACACGTTTAATTATTAAAACAAACTTATCGAACTTAGACTCCGTGTTGAATATGTGTCATGTACATCTCGATGCTTATATTTCAGGTGAGACGGTTTGTGCAAGCCTAATGGTCTGGGTTAAAAATAGTTCAAATTAGATGCCTTCAAAGTACTAGGTTCAAAGTAGACTATCTAACACATCTATAAAATACCTAACAACATAATTTAGTTGTCATAAGTAAGTTACCTGATGATTCTGAGAAAGACGAAACTGCTATATGGTGCAGTTTAATCCATTGTTTGACTCTACTGCATCTAACTAAATTTGTATTTAAATGTGCTATTGATTTGTGTGTCTTTTGTACAGTCATGATCAACAGATTTACATATCATAATGAAGGCTGCGCGAATGAATAAAATCTATAATGAGTTCTACGGTCATCTCCCGCTTCGTATTGAGTACGGTAGCCATCTTTAAACTGCCACGGGTTGTCTTGTAACCCTTCTGATGTACCCATGGTATCATGAATTGAGTTCAGAAGTAGTGCTGTTTCAGAATCGTTCATTGGATGCCATAGGGGATTTTGTTTCCTTCGAGATTTTCATTTTCAGGCACTAAAAGGTTTGAATATCAATGATTATTAACCAATTTGCAGTAAACGGTGAATTGCAAAATGTAATTCAGATATCATCAAATTGTTATAAGTTTTGTTAAAAGTCATCACAATCATGCATTTTAATTTATTGATTTAATAATTATTCTGTATATTATTTCTCTTTTTAATTGGTAATCTGCAAATCTGGTGTTAATGTGATTGCTTTTACCTAAAATCCAGCATCAAAGATATGTAAGGGTTTTCTCCCCTTACAAAAACTGTAAAGATGTTTTCATGCACAAATGAAATGGGCTTATTTAAGTAGAAAAATGGTTCTTCTATAAGAACATTTAATTTGTCCATTCTGTACACAACCATACCGCATTCGAAACTGCAGGAACGTTTTGGTTCACTTGTCATGATAGCGTTCTTCTCCAATAAAGGTGAAAGGTGGTATAAATATATGGTATAAATTATACCGAAGCGTATTTCGTAAAGGTAAAATACGTCCAAACCAAAGAAGAAATAAACGGAGGACGGAATCATAAAAATCATCGAGTTTCTGGTTGACAACATCTTTGTCGAGTTTAGTGGCTAGATCTTCTAAAAGATTATCGGCATACGTATCGGAACTAACAGTGCCCCTTTGTTGTTCTACTTGGTTTTGTTTTCATACGAGACTGAATTTATTGAAGAACAAGTATTGTCTTTACATTATAAGAAATTTATTGACCACGTCTATTGTAAATAAATGGAAATGAAAGACAAGACAGACTATTCTACATCAGCTACTTAGCTAGAGCTTTTCCTACAACGAAACCAACAGCTATATACTAAACGTGATGATTTCATTTTCCCTGTAAATTTTCCATTTCTGGATAGCAGTTAACCTGCATCTTCAACCTATTGTATTTACCACTGTGAAAAATATTCTTTTTCTTTGTGTTATATGAAACTGGACGTGTTTGATGGTCGTTTGTTTGCCTGTTGATTCCAGTATACCTTGATCTTATTTGAGAACGTGACATTACTTACTTAGATTAACCAAGATTTACATGGCGGATGTCATCGATGAAGCAGAAGACGTTTACTCTTCCGGAACTACTGGTATTGTTATCCTTGTACTTTTTCCGGATGCTCCGTATAGATCTTTCTTTTGTTCATATTTTGCCCCGGTTTTATGGAATTTTGTTTTTCATCGTGTTCCGCTTAAATAGAAATCGAAACTTTAATAGACTAGCTTCCTAGGAACTAGATATTGAGCTGCCGACGAAGGCTTGCAGAGAAAGGAAACAGGAGAGAGGTAGGATCATCTTGAAATAGAGTTTTTATCGCTTTGTGGGTTGCATAATTGACACAAATTATTTCGTCCATAAAAACGGTCGACTCTTCAAAACGACCCTCGTCTACGATAGATACATTTGTGTAATCGACTCATAACCACAGTAGGAACGACAAGGAGGTAGTATCTGTCCAAACAGTTCGCACCAAGTTAAAGCGACAACGCGACGTCCCTACACTGAGCCAATTTTTTTGTTGCGTCACTGTAATAATTGCCGTAACGGATCCCGAATCCGCAGTCGGTCTGATCTCAAATGAATCCCGATCTTACCTGCAACACATTGGCGGAAGGTGCAGAAAGTGGAGGCGACGAAAGGAGTGTGTTGCGAATAACTGCCTATTATGGGAATATGGCACTTTAATTGGCACGTGAGCGGCATTTTCCATCAAGATAATGTGCCAGCGAACATCAGAAGTAAAACGCATTTTTTCACCAACTGAGCATATTTGGGACTTTCTTGGGCAATACGTGAGAGAACACCATAGACAGTCTTTAAACAGAAATGATTTGCCTCGAAATAGGAATGGAACAACATCTATCCTCAAATTATCAACCGCTATAGTGGCTACTTACCTTACCAAAAAATGCTTCATAAGAGACAATTTGTTTGATGTCTTTCATAAAAATAAAAAAAGAAAGAAAATAAAATAAAAAATAAGCGAAAACAAAATTTCATTGATAATTATCATCACACCACACTCAGAATTGATGAACGAAATATTGCACTTCTTCATCATTGACTTTGATACAATCAAAAGTCTTTTTTCGAAAAGAAACCGTCTCTAAGTGAAATAAAACCAAATATTTCAAAAGTCTGTATGGAAGGGATAATTTGGGTGTCCATCGTAGCTGCAATTAATAAGAATACATTTTATAAACTAAATATTCAATATGAAATGTCATAGATTACATAAAGCAATTATATTCACATTATATATAAACTCACTATACAATCTGTATCGTGTATGACGAAATGTATTATTGAGTGAAGGTAGACACATTTGGTCTTAATAGGTATCTAACACGCATTATTGCATTATGACAAGAACAAAACAATTGTTCACCAATAGCGAACTACCATAAAAGATGTCCCTTGTTTAAATCATCAAACATCAAAAATATTAGTATAATTTTATTAAGGGTTTTGATTATTGATAACTTACTGTG